CCGGGCATGGATGCATAGATCCGGCGACATAAACACTGATAGGTCTATCAGAAAATCTCCGCGCCTCTTGTTGGCATTCCCAAAAGGACACATGCCCCGAAACAACACGAGCGAAGATAGGCCCTCCGATTGCGTGAAGATCGAAGACAATAGCACACCGACCGTCGGGACCATGCCATGAGGGAGCGAGCACAAGCGATCCATAGTCTCTGCCAAGCTGGGGCTGTGTGGCTACCAACATCTCAAAGAACGGAGGGATGCTCTCGTCAAGCTCCTGCATCAGGCCATCTAGAGCATCCTGCTCCGTACATGGGAGGAAGAGGGTAATACGCTTCTCAAAGCTCTTATACCCTGGTGCAAAGACCTGAAAGGCACACTGCGCCGTTATAGGGCTTTCGGCAGAGGTGACCCCGACACGCAACGCTTCAACAGACTGGTATCTGGTGACAGAAGGGGAAGTATGCAGACCAAGCTCAAGAACGTCAACGCCTGAGGCAGTGATACACCCGGTAGTGTTGGACCTCTGCGGGCGTCCGGTCGAGTCCCCCTCGCTGGCCCCATTCTGTGGGTGGGGTCTAACGCCTTCACTGGAATGCCCGTCTGCTGCATCGGCTCTTCTGGGGGACCGACTGCGAGGTGTTTGATCCGTACCGTCGTCCGAAGACGAGGGATCCTGCTGTTGTGAGACCTCGGAGTCTTCGTCGTCTCTAACGGAGGCACGCGATCCCGTGCAGAGGGATCCAACACTGAAGTCGCTATCCGGTGTCGCTCGGAACGTCAAGACTTCGCCTGTCCGCACTTCAACGTAGTATCCATTGCAGTCCTTGCCTACAACCTCAATGTCAGCACATTTTGGAAGCTCTTGTTCGAAGGACCGAAGGACTGTGGGTAAGTGCACCTGACTCCCGAATTGGAACCATCCAAAAGGTCTCACTCCAAGAGGCCTAAAGTCAAGGAAAACGAAACAACGCTCTTCCTCTGCACTAGGACCCCCCTGTGGATCAGCTTCGGGGAGGTCAGTCAGCATTGCTAGGCCTTTGCATTTGCGCCCATGTAGGCACAAGTCAAGCATCGGAGGATGGGTCGCACACGCAATCTGTGTAGACCTGTGGGTGCAGGCAACGGTATCAAGTGCTACTTCATGTAGCGCTTGGAGTGAGTCACCTTCCGACCTGACATACCACCTCTGGGAATTGTAAAGTAGACAGTACCCTGCTGGTTCCTCATGTTGGTGCATGTCACACGAGGTCCTCCATTGGGCACAGTCTCCAAGGAGTTCTTCCTGAAGGGTGCCGTGTCTGTGTATACGACGCTCATCGCAGACTGTGAGAAGGTCACCATGGGACAAGTGAATGTCTTCGCCGACTGGATGGGGTGTGTGTTCCGTGCCGAGAAAAAGATCGACACTGAAACAACCAGCTGGAAGCATAGGATTGATGAAGGAGATCCAATCAGTGAATGCAAGGACGGACGGCAACACGACCGCAAAAATCCGTCCACCGGCTGGCTCAAGGTTGACAACAACAACAGCGTGGCTCAGACCTTCAAGTGCCCCAGAATGGAGAACATACGTAAGCATGCCCTTATAGGCAGTAGGTTCGACAGGCGAGACACAATCAAGGACGTCAGTTGGCAGCGTAACAACCGCTTCTTTGACTTTAGAGGCCAAAGCCTGTGTATCAGCCCCAACAGTAGATGTGATGTCAACAAAATTTGTCTGATAGTGTGGAGCCATGACAGCAACCCCGAGGATGGCAGTGGAATTGGTATTGTCCTCAGTGGCTGCGTTATCAGTAGGCACACTAAAATGTACAGGTGGGGCGGTGGACACCTCAGGAGCGGCCTGTGCTGGAACTGCAAGAAAGGCATCCGCAAGGACGGTGAGGTGTTGTGGGTCAATCTGAGGAGGAACAGCCCATACGCAGGTGGGTATATTGAGGCAATGCAAGGCATAGAACAGCAAGAAGGGTGCCCATGGTATCTTGCGTCTAGCCTTCCTGCACTGATGGAGGTATCGCCGTCGCCTCCAGGTAAGTATTGTCTTGGTGGAACCGACCCGAGAAAGCGGCACCGCGACGATTTCACCATAGCAAAGGTGACTGTCTGTCGTCTTTCTGGGTCCTCGTTGACCGATGCCGCGCCTTAAAATAAACACAAGCGACAGCGTGCACCCTAACGAGGCCAGGATCTTGACTGAGTGTACTTGCTGGGTACACCAATCTTCTGCAGCATTCCTGCAGTAACCTGCAAGGCATTGCCTAATCTGGAATGAGGCCTGTGTCCCAGAGCCACCGATACACATGTTGGGCGCACTCATTTCCAGACTAACTATGCCTGCCTTGACACTAGTGTCGCTAACAGTATCAAAACCGTCCTCCGTCTGTGGATGGGCACCAAGGCTCAGTCCAACATATAGCACCAGAGGATTTGTTGCGGCAGAGACTTCAAAAGTCGCAGCAGCAAGAGAGTTGCCGAGTTGTCTGTTGCTCGGATGAGCAATCGCCCTACACAGTGAAGGTGGCTGAGGGTAGCTGAGGCGCTGTTCTTGCACCTGATTGCCTGCACACCTCGGACATAGTTGGACAGGTGGCTGAGTATAACAATCGGGCCGGAAGAAAGGCTCATGTGTAGCCAAGGGCGTGGGAAAGGGCACGCAATCAAGAACCCAATGATCGCGGCCCTTTCGCGAGGAAGACCGAAGAACACTGCCGTCAGCAGACTGCAAAGACCAAGCAGGGGCTGGCGGATGCTCTTTGAGAACGCAAAAGTAAGCAGCCTGTGGAAACAGCCGGACATCGCCCCTGTACAAGCAACAGCTCTGAGAGATTAGCCCTCTAATCTGTACATGACCTCCATGCTTCTCAGAAAGTTCCTGCCGCGACTCACCCAGGACTCGTCTCCCATGCAGTTGGCCGACGGGGAACAGAGCAGCCCGAGACTCAACCCCAGGAGTCTCGAGGGTGCAAGGCCCCACCAGTCCTGCCATAGGAGGCATCCATGGTGAGTAGTGGCAAAGAACAATTTTCGTACATCTCAAGTGGGCTCGTTCCTGATCTCTTCCTTGGCATCTTGATGATCGGCGTTTTCTCCACTGAACTCGTCGTCCTCTATGATGGCAGGCACTGGAGGCTTCCCCGGGTGAACCGAGGGGATAAGCCCCATCTGCGGGGGAGGGGCATGTCCGAAGGGCATCATGGCTCTTTTTGCTTGCAGCCTGTCCGCCACTGAAGGAGCCGCCGTAGTCATTGCTGGGTCCGAGCCTGCCTCGTAGGGATTTGTTCGAGCACTCGGAGAAAGAGGTTTCACTTTGGAGTAGAGGCTGCCTGGGGATGCATGGTACGGTGCCGTGTTGGGAGGTGCGCCGTCCCCAACGTAGTCGGCCGAGAATGTCGTCGTAGAAGGTGCCGGTCCTGGCCCCGGAGCTGGCATGTGTGGGACTCCCCTCTCCGAAGGGTCCACCATGGAGACATGGGCGTCTCTCAGATCCACATCCATGGGCCGGCGTTCCAGTCCAGGGGGTCCCGTGCCAAAAGTCGGCGGAGCCGGGTGTCCCCCATTGGGTGGTCCTGTGTAGTCCCACGGCTCTCTCATTCTGACCGGCTCGGGCATATTGGCACGCATGGCCCTGTCCAACACATCCCTGGCTTCCATGCTCGTATAGTCTCCTCTGCCTTCTGCAAGAAGTTCGTCCAGCCGGGCTTTGTGTTGCTCTTCCCGAGGTGCACGTCCCGCATGGACCTGTAGGAGTTCCTTCCGCGATTCCTCCTGCGCAGCGTGTGCGCGGGCCAGGTCCTCTTCGATGCGCTGCAGGTCCTTGTTGTATTTGCTGTATTCCTTGGCATAGGACTTCTGGAGGTCCGCTTCGTACTTCTCCCAAAGTCTGGCCCGTTCCTCCTTCGAACGAGCGAGAGATGCAACTCTTTGCTCGCATTTGCGTGTCTTGTTGAGTGCATCTTGGATGAGTTGCACCATCGAAGTCGGCCCTGTGTTGTCCCCATTGCTCAAGGGGTTCCTGTCCCAGGACTGCACTCCTCGTCCCTGATCGTACGAGGGAAAAGCTGACTCCTGTCGCGGCCACGAGCCCCGCCAATATCTGGGGCCACCACCACCTTGTTGCTGTCCGCTGCTTCGGCGCCATGATTTGTTCATAGAGCGACCCGATCCGTGATGGAACCAAAGGCGGTGTTCCTGCAGCTTCGAGAGCCGCTTGCCAGCTCTCCACAGAGAGCGAGCTCTGGATCTTCGTGCCCGCCTGTTTCGGTGCCAGGTGGGACTTCGGGGCGCTATGGCGCAGGGAAAAAGCGGCGACACCGTCGCCTGGGGCTACCAGTGTTCCGGCCTCGTCCGGCGATCTGAGCCCTTATATATATATATATATGTATGTATGTGTATGTGTATGTGTATGTGTATGTGTATGTGTATGTGTATGTGTATGTGTATGTGTATGTGTATGTGTATGTGTATATGTATCCGTATATATATCTATATATATGTATGTATGTGTATATAAATAAATAAATAAATAAATAAATAAATAAATATATATATATATATATGTAAAGGAAGCTCCCGGCTTGTAAACTCAACCTAAAATTCAACGTTCTCATGCTGCTGCATACGAAAAAAGTGGGAGGCGTCTGCCAGGGTTCACTCACGAAGTGTTTGGCAGTGTTTGGGAATCTGGCGGTTAGAGAATGAAAAGCACTGCTTACAACAACACCACGGCCGTCCTGAGAACAACTTTGCATCGTCTACTTATGAGGAAGACGCGAAAACAGAAAAGCACTGCACTGTGTGGGCGGTAGTACAGAGGCATGGATATATCGAAAAAGGCTGTGTTTATTCGGTCATTAGGTTGTAGTATAGCAGAGGTGACGGACGCGGAGCTGCAGACGATGCATACAGTTTGACGGAAAGTTGAATCTTAACCACTACGACCCTAGCCTAATCATGGTTAACTAAACAGTTAAACAATATGCATGCAATGCAGAGCCAGGTGCCAGCTGATGTCGACTTGCGCTGGGGCTGGTGTTGCCGACGAGGCCTTCTGTGACGCGTCGGTGCATGTGGTTTGGAGTCTACATATTGCAGGGACCTAAGTAATACCAATACTGTCATGGGGGGCTCCTTATTATGATTCTAGTTTAACATACACCAAAACCCACTTCTAAGCATTAAGGTCTCTATATTCATCGTGAGACCCGGGCCAGAACTCTGGTAATTTAAACGCCTGATAATTCGAAGCGGGTTCTTGGGTATGGGGGAGACCTAAGGCGATTGAAGTAACAAATTAGCTGCAGCCTCCACTTATCACCTGTTCTGGGTGGACTTTCTTTCGGGAAGCACTCTAGTCCTTGCGCCCAGCGGAGCGCTCCGGGGAACCCTAAAACGCCGAACCCGCAGACACTCACACATAAAAATCAATCCCCAAACGCTGAACCTGTCCTGAGGTCGAGCAATACGAGCTGGGACTGCAAAAGAGATGATGCCGGCAGGCCTTGAGGATGCGCGGGCTTAGACTCTTAGGCCCTGGGGACTTGGATTTCGGGGTTCAGGGTTACAGAAATTACTTCAGGGAGCACCCTAAACCCTAAACCCGAAACCCTAAACTCCATAATGTACGCGGCAGTCCCTAATTCTCTCTGGTACTTTTGAAAGTCTAAATAAAGTTCCCTTGAGGTTCCCCAGTGCCTGGAACCAGCCTCCCTTAACGGGACCCTCTCCTTAAAGGGTTTAGGGCTTATAGGGTTTAGGGTTGCAAGCATGAGTTGAAGCTACGCATGTCCAGCTGATTAACAAAAGCAGCAACATAACCATTCTGCTGCTGGTTAGCTAAGGCTCGTCCTGCCGTTCATCACAAACAAGTGGGGCCTCTCTTGGAAATACTTCGGCTTCAAGAAGTTCTTCACATTTCTGTTCGGCCCTGGAGGGACACTCGGTCGTCATCACAGCCACGTGATTGTACGAAATAAGCTTTAATCCCGAGACCAGAATCGACTTGTCTTGTAAGGAAAGCTAGACCACCGACAACAAGCGAGACGGCTGCTTGATCAGACTTCCAAAGCTCGCGAGACCTGCAAGTTGCTCTCGAAGCTTCTGCCGCTTGAGTTGGCCGCCGGCATGTCTCAAGGCCCATCCGATTTGAAAGTCCAATTCGGTCGGCGCCCATGCCTTCCTGAGCCAGTCTTATGAAAGCAGCACGTTGGCTGAACCCGGACCCTACTCCACCACGAAAGTGTCTCAAACCGTTGGAAGCATTCTCAACGAGAGCCTGGCATCGAGGTGGATGCCAGGGCAAAGCCCTCACCTCGGTCTCTGCTGGCATAACCATCTGTCAAAGCTGTGCTTCCAGAGAAAAACAGTGCTCAAATCAACAGATGCCAACCTCTCGCAATAAAGCTCTACGCACAGAGCGCTGGCATGGGCTGACGGTCTCTTCTGTCGTCTCGGGCGGAAAGCAACGCTTCGCCTTGCCACACAAGACACCTTCCGCCCCCCAACCGGCATTCAAGGGTATTTGTAATTGCGTGGCGGGCGAATGCAGATCGTGCGAGACCTCTGGTCTGCTTTTTTCGATCGACAGTCCGATGATCTGATTCGTGCTCGGAAAGCCTCAACCTGAGGCGGCCAACACCAGATTTTCCTTGGGGCATCTACTGCTTGCAATTCACAGCAGCTCTGCTAATGACGTCAAGATATCTCGAAACTGAAGGCTGCCCTTTTTTCATATCTTCTGACACGGAGCAGTTCGTATCGCTCCGTGTCCCCCCTCGCGCTCGTCTCTCTCTTTCGTTTAAGGGTTAAGGTTTCGGGGCCAGTGTCAGAATATAACTGACAAGGTGGGGCTACGTGGCAACCTCCTTGGCAAGCGCATCGTTATACGTGAATGAAGTTTAAAGTCGGCATCCAGGTCCCCAATGGGTCCAAGTACTAATATGGTAGCTACTGTGTAGGTATTTGGACCCCCAAAGTATAAACTTGGACCCTTTGGGGTCTTGCAAGAGAATGCAAGCAACATGAGCCGGGAGACTTGGGAAGCGCGTTGCCCAGTTCTCCTTAGGTTTGCAAACAGCTGTACCTATAGTCTCCATTGTAGTTCCTTTTTTTGGTTTAACCAAATATGTTAACGAGTTTATAAGGTATCCCCCAAAAGGAACTACAATGGAGACTATAGGTAGTGTAGGCCCTGGATTCTGCGGTTAGGCTGCTCACGATTCTGGGAATACCTCGGCAACATCCCAAAGTCGAAAAACCTGGACTTATGCCTAAACCAACAACCGTAGGTGCCTAGAGAACACACTGACTCGTGGGGGTATGCGAAGGGGTTCTGAGCGTGCGCTGTGCATCCTACAGCCGTAAGATCTGAATGCCCTGAACCTACATCGGCGTTTCAATTAATAAAGAGCCGATGCTTGGATCAAGGCAGTCACACCTCAGCCTCAAAGCCCTTTAGAGGCACTCCACATGTGTAGCGTCTACCCAATAGACTTTGCAGTGGGAATTGTAGTTTAAGGTCTGGGTTAAGGTTTTTCATGCCCTACCTTTAAGCCGCGTTTCTGGCAGAAGATCCTGGCCCTCGATGAGGGCTGGAGGGTCTGCGAAGGAAATGCCCTGCTGCCCAGAACTGAACAGGTGTGTCCTCCTCCGCAAATAGAAGTGGCTGATCTTCTTCAGATCTTTGCACCTGACATGTCGCAGTGCTGTACTTCATGGACTGCAGAACCTTAGACAAGAACGGAGCAAGTCAACTTAACAAAGTCACTGATTTCAGGCACTGCTTTCTGGCCCATCCCACCCGTGAGTCCCACCTTTGAGTGAGCTCATCCATAGACAGACATCCGCCGGAATTGCGAAGGACCCAGCCGACTTGCATGTCGGTAGACGTTGGAGCTGTATGATCACGCAAAGCTGCAACAGCGAAGCCCTTGCTGGGAAATGTTTCGAGCAAGCGGTCCTGGGCTAACTTGGTGGCTGGCTACTTTCAGATGCTTACTGTATTGGGGTTTGGGGTTTAGGGTTGAGGGTTTAGGGCATTATAGTACTGGCACCGTGTAGCAAAATATAACTTTAGCAGGATTTGTGTGCGAGTGTACACTCGAAGTTGAAGGATTGTAGGTACCTGCAAGCGGGGTTAGTAAGTCAGGTACCATCACGATGACTGCTCCTACACGCGAATTCAGTGCTTCCAGACCCACTTTGAACTACCTGTGAACTTCAAGCCGTGTTGATTTCAGTACTGGGTAGTTCTCTAAAGTAGGGGTCCCTTTTGAATTCCCCAAGATAGTAGGGCACCCTTATAAAAAGGCCCCACAGGGACCGTAGTTTAGAGAACTACCTTGCTGTACTGGGCCAACTCGAAGGCTCTCTGCTGCCAGACCTCACCAAGTCGCCAGCAACAGCTCCAGCATTGAGTTTCTGCGCATTTACAAACATTGAATAATGTAGGGGCCTTATGAATAGACTAGGGTTTTGGGCTCGTCTATGGTATAGATTTGGTATAGATGTGGTAAGGAATAATATTGGTATTTACTTATACACCCCAAAACCCTAAACCCATATCTGCTTCCATAGTACTGAAATCCTGAACCCGCCGAAGCAAGAAATCAGCGCAACTGCAAGACTGGAACGGTTTAGGGTTTATAGGGCTTAGGGTTTTAGGGGAGTCTTCTACTGCTTGCGACCAGTGACGATGTTCGCGTAGGAGGGCTGATCCTTCGCAGGCTTTGGGACGCATGGGTTGGGTTTCATGTTGATGATAGGGTTTTAAGTTGAAGGTCTAGGGCTTATGCGGGTTCAGGGTTTAAGGTTTAGGGCATTTGGGGACATCCAATCCAATTGCCATGGGATTGCAGTCAAAATTCCCATGAGGTCCGAGCCTGGAAACCCAGCACACAAAATCCGTCCTTTGCAGCGTGATGTCGGAATCTACGTTCTTCCGGCTCCTCACATGCAGCTTGATCTTGAATTGCATTCTTACAATTCCTGGGGCTTTGGGCTGGGGATCATCGGTCGGTCCAATCTGAACAGCTCGGGAGACGATTTCCACACCTCCGTTGTGCTACGACCACTGACTTTTGCAACAGCTGGGGAAAATTCGCATGCCCACGTGTGCTTGAACGCCAATCGCGCAGACATGCGCAGACAGTATATACTACGTTTTCACTTACAGGTCCCCCTTCCAGCCGAGGTGCTTGCCATACTGGCACCACCCAAGGCTGCAACAGTTGCACACTGTTGTTCAGGGTTGGCTGTAAGAGAAATACGCAAGGAATAACAGAAGATGCCACAAGCCCGCAAGGGCCTAGCAACTGGCAAAGTCACCTACCACTCCTATGGACATCTACATAAGACCTCCTGAGAACATGCCGTGAAGCCTTCCAAACCCGAGAAACACCGCAATAGGTTTAGGGTTTAGGGTTTAGGGTTTACAAGTCGTCACCCCTAAACACTAGACCCTAAACCCTTAGTCGTGCCTAGAAAAGCCTTCATGGCCCAGCACCCCCAACCCTAAACCCCAAACCCTTCATCGCAAAGCCTAGATGGGGCCTGAAGTTGATGGTCAACTGCATATACTCTGGGCTCTAGAACAGAATCTAACCCCCAAAAAGGCCGGGACATGTTCAAAACGCCAAAATTACTATTCGTATCCCAAAACAACACCCCAATTCGACAGTATACTCCAAAGGAACGCTGTGGAGAAAGGAACGCTGTGGACACCCTAAAATCCCAATTCATTAAACAATTCTTATGAGACCCATGAAACCCTTTCAAACAACTTCAAACAACTCTGCGCAACCAAAAAATAACCCTATATATAGCCCATGACCACTTGAACCGCTGAAGCAGAATGACTCAGAAAGAAACGTCCTCCGGCTCATCGGATCCGTCAGAGTCGGAGGAGGATGCAACTTTGACAGCCGCAGCGGGCTCTGCTTCAGACCTCAGAGGGTTTAGATTTTCCGATGTTTGGGTTTCGGATTTGAGGTTTAGGTCTTGGGTCAAAGCACTAACCGTTTATTCGTGCCCGGGGTTTAGGGTGTAGGGTACAGAAGTCTGATGGAGTTTGACATGGCGTCGATGGAAGACACCCCTGGGATCTCTGTCAAGGTTACACTATGAGTAGTCAACCTGATCTCTGCAGGTCCGAGGACGTGCCCAGGCCTATTTCCCCAAACATCCCCAAATTTCCTGGAGTATTCAAGGGGAACAAAGCCAGTTTTTGGACATGGGTCCTGCATAACTGGCTATTTGTATTGAAACGCATCATTTATTGATGCAATATGCCTTTACATGTATCTTTCAAGGTTGATAGGTTGGGGCTTTAAACCGGGCCTCTTTCAAATGTTTGGTCTGTTGAACCCTTTATCATGGGACGGACGACGAAACCGGGCTTAAATGCCAGCCTACAAACCGAAGCGAATCAGCTGCCCTGAACTCTCACCCCGAACTGAACCCTAAACATAATCTGAAAATGCCAGGCCACTCTTCTGAGGAGCTCGGTACTGGCGGTGGCGGCCGCTTCGGCTTCGGCGCCGGTGTCTGCGCAGCGGAAGGTTCGGAGCTGTCCGATGCCCGAGGTGCCGGAGGGCTTCGGTATCCTTGCGGCCATTAAAACCCCGGTTTAGGGTTTAGGGTTTATAGGGCATATTCCCCACTACTCTTAATGTTTCGACACAGGCAACAATCCCAAGAACACCCAAGCATCTTATGGCAGCGGAAGACGCTGAGGCCATCGACCACGGGTCTTTCCCTCCTGTCCAGGGGTCTCCAGCTCCTTCGCCCGAAGGTTTGCAGAGAGGCGGGGCCTTCCACGGCGGTGCCTGGCTTATAGGAGGTGTCGAGCTCAAGGCCCAAGAGAGGTGTCTCCGGCGTTTCATGGGATGTGTGGCTTTGGACACAGGTGCCCGAAAATAGGGGGGAGCTCATTGTAGTGTAGTAGAACATCTGCTTAGGTTAGCCCGCAGTATATGCGAGTATGAACAATCCACATAATACATATTACCTACACCACTGTGCGAAACATAGCACAACGGCATAAAGCCAGCCGCTGATTAGCCTGGGAACCGACCCTCGTGTGGCTTGGGGAGACAGGGTTGAGCACCGAAGAGGCCTAAACCCAGGCCGAGACTCGCACAGTTCTGTGGTCTGATAGCCGTTTTTTGGGGTTTAGGGTTTAGGGTTTATAGAGTTTAGGGAGGGTCTACGAGTAGCTAGTCCTCGCTTCTTGCAATCATGGCCGGAGGCACAGGAGCAATCAGAAAAAACCGATGCAGACACTCCAGCGTTCACTAAGTATCCATGAATCAGCAGTCCCTAACCCCCCAGGTACCTAGTATATAGGGCCCTAGGGGCTCTAGTGCCCTATATAGTAGGTACCTGGGGGGTTAGGGAGTGGTTACATCGTCGCCTTGGCATTCTGAAACAATGCCAAGCTGCAGAGGTGGAAAGGTCGCCTGCCTGGTCGTCTTAGTACTTGACTACGAGTGGTACACCTGCTCCTTACCTTCTTCATTGTCTACACTCCTTTCATCGGCATCTTCAAGCCAATGGGACGAATAACGGGCTGACCCCCGAACATTAAATATGCTTCACCTTTCACGGATGGAAGGTGTTTTCCTGCTTTGCCTCAGTTGTGGTCCACGGACCAAGCTGAGCCACCCGAAGTTAACATGACTTCAAGTTATCCCAGAACCATCTTCCAACCGTTCTGGAACCTGAAATAGTCCAATGGTCATGTTAAGCTAGAGACATGGCAAGCACGGTTGTGCTGATGGACTTGAAAATGTCCTGGCCTTCAAGCTTTGACTCCAGGGGTCGTGGCCACTGGCCCATGGATCCTGGTTGAGTCTTAGTTATCGGCGTGCATAGTTGAAGGCTTATCTTATGCCTTCAAGACTACTATTGATTATTGCTCCATAGATAGGTAGACGGACAGATAGATAAATACATAGATAGAAAAAAAAGGTAGATAGATAAATAAATAGATAGATAAGATAGATGGATGGATGAATAGATAGATAGGCAGATAGATAGACAGGCAGATACATAGAGTTTGCAACTAGCCCAGTCTCAGTCGCAGCTTTATCATGAGTATCCGTGAACGTTCAAGCCACTTGGAGAACATGTGAGCCTCGGGGGATCGAGGGTTTCTTGGGCGTTCGTCAATTATGTTGGCCTAGGATGTTGCACCAGCATCAACACGGTGATTTCGAACAAACTTACAGGATACTCTTGCATTCTACAGTCCCATAGCATGAACGATTGAAACCTGTACTTCGTCGATAGCCCAGACCCCCGGAGGATCTAGAAAGTAGATCCCCTGATTTGAAACCTCATACTACTAAGGGCTCTGTATAGGAACGCCCCATTAAGGGATCTACTTTTTGGATCCTCCCGGGGGTCTGGGAGTCGAAACCTGAAGCTGACCGTCGAACACACCTATTGAAAGGGACCTGTTGTGAAAGCGATAGGCTCTGCAGGAACGCTATCGATTGTAGGCTACGCCCCAGCCTCCAGCCCTAAACCCTAAACCCTAAACCCTAAACCCTAAAGCCTAAACCGATACAAGCCTACTTTCTCAATCCTGCAGCAGAGAGCTGAGAATCAGTCGTTGCCATCGCTTTCTGCTGCAGCATTCATGCGATCTCACAGTTTGAAGCCCCAAAGTCCCGAAAACCCATGAGACCCCAAACCTAGGGTTCAGGGCTTATGTACATGGTTTAGCGGAACCCTAGACCCTAAACCCTAAACCTCCTAAACCTCCTAAACCCCTAAACCCTAAACCCTAAACCGTGGCTAAGAACCGTGTCAATGCAGGCAAAGGTCTGCAACTGCGGTCGATCCCTGTTCTGTAGCCCCGAAACCAAGAGCCCAGTGCCTAGGTTTAGGGTTTAGGGGTTTAGGGTTTAGGACTTATAGGGTTGAAGGTTTTAAGCTCGAAGCAAGCTTCGATGCCAGATCCTCTCAAACAGAAAGCTCTTGAAATTGAGCCTCAAGCCTTCAAGCTGTCACCATGGTTTAATGGAGCCAAGATCTACACGAAGCATGTAAACTTGAGGGGGGGGGAATAAAGAAAACCCCGCTACCCCCTTCAATCCACATGCATCTGCCGTCTCCTCTGAGGGGATGCTTTGGAGCGATGGCGGAGCCTGCTTAGGAGAGGCCGTCCTACATGCGCTTGCAGCCCACCACCTCTATGTAGCGACTCTACTGTAACTGGGCTGCTTGGCCTCCTGTTTCAGGATGTATGCGATCTGAAGGGTGTCTCAGAAACAACGCAGGAGTGGAGTCTTGAGATTGTTGGGCCATCGAGGCTGCACCATGCCCACACAACATCACACTGCGAACCCCCGACTCCGGGCTATCCAGGGCCTGAAATCTTTTAACTGCTATCTCAGCCGTCTACCTCATTCTATGCATTAATTCCTGCACCTTCGAATCTCAATCTCCAAATCGTACACGCCCAGGTGTGGCTTCAGCCAACATTCGCAAGGTGTCCGCAGGATTCTATACGGAAGGGGTGCTATAACGATGAGTCGCGCCTTGGGCGGTGGCATCGGGTGTATCGGCGGGGCGCCATGGACCTGCGCAGTAACTTCTGAAGGAGTTTGCCTGGGGTTTAGGGTTTAGGGTTTAGAGTTTAGGCTTCAGGGTTTAGGGTTTAGCATTTAGCGACCAGAAACTGGAACTGGGCATGTACCGTCGGGACTCCTTGCATGGGCGCTTCCCGGAATTTCGGGTTCCTGATTGGGGGGTCCTTGTTGAAGGGTAACAGGGTTAGGGCTTCGGGGCTTTCGGATGCTCTTAGAGACTTAGAGCTTGCGCGTCCGTGCATTTCGAAGAAATAGGTTCAAGACATTGACCCTAAGGGTCCAAGTACCCATTATTTAAGGACTTCGGGGCCTTTTTGGGTACCTAAAACCATAAATAAGGACTACTTGGACCCTTAGGGTGAAGGCTTTATCGACTTCGAGCTTGCCTGTCCGTGCACTTCAGATTAAAATTCAAAACTCAAGCGCAACCATGACCATATCGAGCCTGACAGTGGAATTGCGGGGTCTACACTAGAAGCCGTAAATTCTGAAATCCAAAGGCCATTGCCACATCAGTTGCGGGATTCGCCTTTGAAGTCATCGGTGTTGGTGAGGCCGGTTTCGGTGCAGTAAGACCTGGAACCTCAGCAAGTCGAGGGTCTATTCTGTTGGGTTTCTAAGGGTGCTAACTAAGGGTTGTAGGGTGTAGGGTTTTGTTTAGGGCTTCAGGGCTTCAGGGTTTTAGGGTTTAGGGTTTAGGTGAAGGAATCGAAGCCTACGCTTCTTAAACAACCATATAGAGGACTTATCGAAACCTGAGAGAGACCTTAATGGAAGCAGTCTCCTAACCAGGGCCTCGTGCAGTATGAAAGTCGCCGCGGGCAGCTTGAACCCTCAAGACTTATACGGTTATACGGCCCGAAGCCCGTGATGCCGAAGTTTCACCACAAAACCTTGCGCCATGGTCATAAATAGTGTTAGTCCAACTTACGCTAGGGCTCCCGTTGCTGAAATAATGGGCTACTGGGGTACATGGATTAGTAGCCGACTGATTCAGTAGCCGGAGCCCTGGGGCTTCGTACACAAACTAAATCGTTTATCTGCAGAAACAACTGCAGATCACCACATACACCACCACCCACCACCACCACCACCACCACCACCGCCACCACCACCACGACCACCACCACCACCACCACGACGACCACCACAACCACCACCACCACGACTAGCCCTTGGACACCGCACTCTTCAAAGCCCAAGACACTGGGAGATTCACCGGTCGTGCAAGGGCGACATGGCCCGAGGTCACCGTGAAGAGGCTCTGCTTGGAGAGCACGACCTTCGGTTGCGAAGTGAGATCTCCTGGATTCTGGGTAAGGGATTGAAATTCAGTTAAAACCCAGATCTATGGTACTATAGTACATAATATGGTTCCTTATTCTGGTAACTTGAGCTAATTCCGATAGCAAGAACCCAGTCTCAGGTGCACATGTTGGGTCTGGACGTCTATCGGGTTGAGCATCTGGGTTGCACGTAGGGATTTGCATGAGCTCGTGGTTTCGTGGTTTTGGTGGCTTGGGGGTTCAACAGCCTATCTATTCAGCCTAGCATTTTCAGCCTCTCTATGGCCGTACGAATCCACAAAGGATTTGGGGATTAAGGGTTCGCCTAGGGTGATGAACTGCTGCTAGCCTTCAGATGTGGTGCCTCATGCTTCTGGTCTTCCGTGTCGGCAGAAGGACATCAAGCTTACGTTAGGGTCTCGGACTTGAGGTTTTGGCAGAAGTTCAGATGCAAAGGCTTGCGTTGATGTTGCACACCCCCCCGACCCAAACTGTCCTGAATTGCCTAAGCATAAACCCTACAGCTTGAAGCCCTTAAACCCTGCACCGACAAACACATCTCCCAGGACTTCTCCCAGCCTCCCTAGCTGAAAACTGCCCGGCGAATCGTCGCTCCAGCACTTCAAGCGGAACTGGATGCGGCGACTGCTGGAGTTCCTGTGCGACAAGCAGCCTTGGTTTCGGAGGCCTCAAAAGGTGGGATGAAGGTAGGTGGGATATTCCCAAATAAGAGTCCTGAAATAAGGGATCCTTAATCCTACCTACCTTCATCCCACCTTTTGAGGCCTCCGATGGTTGGGTCTTCGAAGACTGAGGGGGGCCTGGGTGCTTCCAGGGGGTGAGACTTTCGGATGTTTGGGGTTGAGCTGCAGAAGAAAGCTACCTATAGTCTCCATTGTAGTTCCTTTTTGGGGATGCCTTATAAACTCGTTACTATATACTTGGTTAAACCAAAACAAGGAACTGCAATGGAGACTATAGGTAAACCCTAAACCCTAAACCCTAAACCCTAAACCCTAACCCCAAACCCCAAACCCCAAACCCTAAACCCTAACCCTAAACCCTAAACTGGAGATGGTGTTTTAGTTTCCCGCTCGAAGATTTGAAGATACGGGGCCTGGGATCTTTAGACCCCTCTCCCCCGAGACTTACGCAGGGTTTAGGGTTTAGGGTTCAGGGTTTAGGGTTTAGGGTTTAGGGTTTAGCTTAGGTGCTTCATTTGCGAGCTCTATCTCGGCTGAGGCACTCTACCTGCAGGAACATCAAGAAGCCAAACCTCAAGTCCTAGACTGTTTAGGGTTTAGGGTTTAGGGTTTAGGGTTTAGGGTTTAGGGCTTCGAAACCCCACCCGAGACTCGCCTCTGGAGTCAAAGTAGGATGTACTGTACTTGGAGGCTCACGGGTAGTTATTGATGGGTAACTAGGCTTACAACCCGTATTAGGGGGCTTCTAACCCCACTTATAACTACCCCTGAACCCCAAACCCTAAACGCTATAGAAGCCTTTAAAGGAACCCTTAACGGAACCCCATAAACCCCAGTAAAAAACTACCCATGAACCTCCAAGTAAGCAACGTCCGAGCGACTCTCTTGAGCTCGGGATGCTTCGGCCGGACTGGAGGGCCATCTGCATGCTGGGGTACCGGCCTTGCGCGCCTCGAAACTGGACCTTCATACCGTCGCCTCTCTTCTTCAACAACCGGGCCCAAAAAAGCTCAAACTTTTTAAACCTAGCCCGAATATAGAAGGCCAAAAAGTTTAAAGTTCTCCCGTTGAGGACCCAAGTCACAGTCGGTGGAAAACATCCGTCGAAACCTTAGTTGCTGGGTTCATAAGCCCAAAAAAGTGTACACTTTCGGGTTTATAGTAGGTAGTATTATCCCAAAAAGTGTAAAGTGTATCCACTCAGCTACTGAGCAACCAGGGGGAAAGGTGTACCCAAGGATTCAACTGCCGAGCTCGTACGACCACCTCGGAGCAGCCAGGCCAAAGCCAGCGCATGAGTCGAGGAGCAGAGCTGTCATTGTTTAGGGTTTAGGGTTTAGGGTTTAAAAGCCATCTGAAGCCCTAAATTTCAGATCCAAGCAAAAGCAATCGACCTCCACAGCGCTGATCTCTGCAAACTCCCTTAGCACCCACAGGCGCCGGTTGCCCGTAATGGCGAACCATGCACTGCCCCGCTGCCAGACCTGTCACGACCGTAGGCTTTAGGGTGTGAATTTAGGGTTTAGGATTTAGGGTTTAGGGTTTAGCAACGGGCTCCTAGGATTCACGGGTCTGGGGTTTAATAGGGCTTCAGAGGTTTGGGGGTTTCCGAAAATAGAAGACCCTGGTACAGCACCCTAAATAGCAGGGTCCTTATTATAAGGGCCCCAAAATAAGATGCCCTTCATTTTCGGAAATCCCTATTTAAGGCTTAGGGCTTGCAGGTTTTGGGAACTTGGGGCCTTAGTCCAACGACGCGAAAGGAAATCTGAAACTCTCGCCTGAAGCCCAACATCCGAATCCCGGAAGGGTTTAGGGTTTAGGGTTTGGGGTTTAGCAGTCAGCTGCACAAAGAGTATAGTCACGGGCACCAGCAATTATAAATCAATTAAGAATAAGGATGGACTTGCAAAGCGAC